TGTTAAATATTGCATGTTCGCAATCACTTCACCGTTCTGCAAGCGTGCTTGTGACATGCACTGCAATTTCCTTCTCAGTGGTTTTCTTGGAATCAATGATCGTTTGGAAAGGTGAAGGCTCACCAGTGGCCATGATTGTGCTGCAGTTGCGTCTTTTTTTTTGTTGTTTTTGCGGTGCTTGAACTCTATGACTCACTTATTCTCTCTCAACTGTTAAAGCGCCATTGATTCCAAAACGGGAACGTCTATTTTGAAGCACACCCTCACCCTGCTGTCAATTTGTTCACCAGAAAACTGTATACTGCTTAAACAACCTTTGCTACACTGTTCTTCTATATTTGGATGAAATATGAAGCTACTGACAGCCTGTGATATAGAAATTCTGGTAAATAACGCATTTTTAAACATAGTTACAAATGGCTCATTTCAAACCTGTGCTGTCTGTGATACAAGTCTGTGCTACGATACACACAAAAACTCCATTCCCTTTTCTGAAAATACTTTCGACAAAATGTTGGCGTGTCTTGTAACATGAGAGAGGTGGCTAATATCGAACCTGAAAGCGGGCCTTAACCCGCTTCTTGCAGTCCTGTTTGATGTGGTTAAAGCTGTCGAGTTCTTTCAAAACAAACTCAACCAACCTTGTCATTCTGGACGTTGCGTTATCCACTTAGAACCAAAACGGACCTTCGATCCTGCCTTCTAAATCAGACACAGTATGGAGAAGAATGTTAATAACCCTGCCATGTTAAAATGATTTTTAAAAAAAGATAAACGTTTGAGCCCAGAAGATATATCTGCTCGGAGCCTGGCCGTAATATATCACCTGGGGTTTTCTATGTCTACGACCACGAGGCGCTCTGAAGCCTCCACGCCACTGTGAAGCCTCACAGCCACAAACTCAAATGGTGAAAAACAGTTTAAGGGCACAATTGACTAAAACGTGGTCCTCAGTCTTTGCATGTCTTTTCAGCTATTATCTTCAAACATATATGATGTCTTTAAAAACCAAGGTATGTGTAATGTGTACAAGTAACACGAGAGAATTTGTCAGTAGTATGGACTGCCAGGCAGAGATGGACAGGAAGATCCAGATGGGCAGTCACGACAGATGGATGCAGCAACAAAAAGCACACAGGCAAGCTGACTGATTGGTCATCTGACTGTAAAGATAACTCTCACGGAGGCGGCTGTCTCATTTCATGAGCTGGATGACTGACCGGACAGCAGACCGACAGTATCGTCCGTGCCATATTTTACAGCAAGCCCACTTACTTTAGAATAGATGTCAACTAGCTGTAGGATCAATGGGTTGCCCTGATTATGAGGGAGTGTGCAGTGCAACAATCTAAGAAGGTGAGACGGAGAGAAATGACGCGGCCAAGATGGCCCATCTGTACAGGCGATTACTGTTCATTACGTGAGTGACAGTCGTGCGTCTGTGTGTGTTTGTGTGTCTTGGCCAACGCTCAGGACACATTTCATTGCTCTGACTTAGCCCAAGGTAATGGGGTATGTCCTTTTTTTTTGGCTGCATTGATTGGCATGGACTCTAGATATACGGGATTGATCACAGTTTTCTTATTCATCAACAGATGAAAAGCAATCCCGAGTTTCTGTTCGACTGTGAAAAATAGAAGCTCGCTGAATTTCAGTTGCAGACTCCAAAAGTAAACATCATGTTACCAACTGAAGCAAACCCAATCCCATGTAATCCCTCAAAACAACAGAAATGTGGTATTACATAAATTCATGTTTGATGTTGTTTTTTGGTTCTTTTGGATTTTTTTTTTTTTTTTTTTTTTCTCGAGGAGGGGGAATTTAGAATAACTCATGTCCAGGGTAGCATTTCTCCTGTTCTCTGAAAGGCATGACTCTGCATCAGTAATTAAGGATGTAGTGGCAATAATTTGGTATTTTAACAAAAGCTTATGTTAACTTTGGAAAGGATACAAAACGCTTGCTCGGATAGTGCAATCAACTTAAACTAGGTTGACAGCATTTTAAAGAATTGTGTTAATTCGTTTCATTAAATAAAAATATAATGTTACATTGTGCCTCTGTTGTGACATAATTGACCCTTTTGGTGGTGGTATTGCAAATCAATCAACTAAAAAGTCAACATTGAGTTCTTTTGCCCCTCCCTGAGTCGTCAACTCGTCACGGCGGAGGGGCTTGTGTGACCCAATAGCCCAAAGTTTTCTGGGGCTTGATGCCCCCTGGCAGGGTCATCCATGGCAAAGAGTTCCTCGCGGAAGAAAATGGATGGCTGGATGATTTTTCTGCACATTCCACTTAAGAATAGAATGGCTTGACATTTTCCTTTATTGCTTGTTAAAGCTCTAAAGTATTGCACAAAGTGATCAAGAAATGGGTCATCAGTTTCAGTAACATTTACTACAAAAAATATGAGAAAGTCTGATACACTGTGTACTGAACGGACTGCACAAAATGATGCAATACTTTGTCTGTCCAGTCCCTTCACATATTTCACTCCCCTTGGTCATGTCCTTAGTGCTTTTTTTTCCCCATTTGCTCTCTTAACTCTCTTTCCATTTGTCTTTTTGTTTGTTGCTTTCCACAAGCTCCATTACTTTGTTTGTCTGTCCCTTTTGTCCTTGCTTTGAGGCCAAATCACTTTTTTTCTGGGATTTTTTTTTTTTTTTTTTTCATAGACCCCCATGTTACTTTTGGATTGATGACATAGATTGTTCTCATTGTTCCTGCCTGTACTTTTTCAGAGGTTGTCTTTGTCACCCTTGGCCAACTCTTTATGAACCAAATCATTTCACTGTCTGATGATGTTTTTATTGCCATTGAATTATCCTATCTGCATTTCAATTTTATGTTGAATGGAATGTCCAATCATCCATCCATTTTCTAATCCATTTATCCTCACGAGGGGCACAGGGCGTACTGGAGCCTATCCCAGCTGTCTTCGGGCAGTAGGCTGGGGACACCCTGAACTGGTTGCCAGCCAATAGCATGGCACACATAGACGAACAACCATCCGTGCTGTAATGAGATGTTTCTTTTTAAATTACATGTATTACATTAAAAATTTGGGGCGGCTCAGTGGAAGAGTGGTTAGCGCATTGACCTCACAGTGTAAAGGCACCGTGTTCGATTCCAGCTCCAGCCTTCCTGTGTGGACTTTGCATGTTCTCCCCGTGCCTTCATGGGTTTTCTCCGGGTGCTCCGTTTACTCCCACATTCCAAAAAAAATGCGTGGTAGGCTGATTGAACACTCAAAAATCATCCCTAGGTGTAAGTGTGCGCGTGGATGGTTGTTCGTCTCTGTATGTGCTGCGATTGGCTGGCAAAAAGGAGAAACATATATCTTTGTCAAAGTTAGCCATGAACCTGGAGGCGCTGGAGAGAGTCAACTTGTTGTGTGAGCCTTGTGAGCTAGTGGGTTAACTGTGTGCGTCTGCGCGCTGGATTTCCGTCTTTTTCAAGTTTGTCATCGTCAAATGCTGACAGTGTTTTTCTTGGTGACTGTGACACAAGCACAAACCAATCAGCTTGCATGAAGATCAGATGTGTTGTGAAAGGTTTATTTAGGTTCACACGGCCATTTAGGATATTCAGTCAAAATCACTTCAATGGGATCTTTATAATACATTTACATCTAATTAGCAGGCTTGTTCCTACCCGTTTTAAATGTACTTACTCAAAAGGGAAACCAATTTCAGTCAATTGTGACATTAGTGTCAGTCAAACAGTTACTACTTAGATGAATAGAAGCAATGATTGGCAATTTACAGGCGATCAACAGAGGTAATTTGACATCTAAAATACTTGAAGTGCCCCATATCCGGGCACCATTTCTCAAATTTGCAGGTGCGTATGCAGCACTACCAACTAGCCGCCAGTATACATTATTTTATATAAAAGCGCACATGTCAATAGACACTGTGCAATTCTGTCCTCAAATAGAAAAAAGTATTATTATTCAAGTAGTTTCAATATAATTCTAATTACTGGTGTTATACAGCCAGTTCAAAAATTATTTGCTTTGTTCTGACGGTTTTGCACTGATCACCTGAGGCTGCAAGGCATGTGGGCATAATGCTGTGGCCCGTGAATGAATATAAACATTGTGTAATCCAGGGATGGGCAACTTCGATCCTCGAAGGTCGCTACCCGGCATGTTTTAGAGGTTTCCCTCCTGCAACACACCGGGTTCGAAGGACCAGCTCATCAGCAAGCTCTGTAGAAGCCTGATAATCATCCTGATCATTTGAATCAGGGGGAAACATCTAAAACGTTCTAATAGCAGAGCCTCAAAGACCGGAGAGGCACAGCTCTGGTCTAAACATTTATCTGGTGATTTGAAGAATGACACCATCACCAAGGGCATTTCACTCCAGTTTCAGTGTTGTTTCTATGTATGTTGTATTTATTTGCTTTTGTTATCTAACCTTGCTGTGACATTTGAAAGATGTATGAAATTTGACTTGAGTTCCCCATAACAAAACACTTTTCATTGACTGTACAATAATTTGGCGTCATTATCCAGGCAGCAGTCTGTTCCAGCCCTCTCAATTTTTTTTTGTTTTTTTTTTTTGTTCCTTATCTGTGAGTCGTCCCTTTTCCGCTCCCCCAATCGTTCAGTCGTCACCTCTCTATTAATCTTGAGAAGGCCATTACAGATTCCATTACAGACTGAAACTCATATTTTTTGTATCCGAAATGGGATTTTTCACATCATTAAACAGTGCAACTCACTGTTAAATGTAAACTCCTTTAATTACTGTTTATTGCTGTGCATGTTAGGGCTTGCTAACAGATTTCAGTATTCCATTTTTCAAAGGAAATGGGAGGAAAAGGTCCCAGCGTACCTAACGAGCAGGGAGGTCTGGGCTTGTGATTTAAGCACAATGTCACCAGGTGGATTAGCCTAACTTGTTTAGACTGCTCTTCAAAGTGTGCAAATTGTTTTATGGGGTGATCGTGATGCGTTGAAAATAATTTTCCCCATGTTCTGTTTTTCATAGGTTGTCAGGGTTCATGCTGCCTTCTCCTATTGTCAGCACCGGATCTATATTGGCCTTGTGGTTTACCACCGATTTTGCCGTCAGTGCACAGGGCTTCAAAGCCGTCTACGAAGGTAAGTTCACATTTGGACAGTTTGTGTGATTTGCGAAATTTCTCTGATGATCAGAAACGGGGGCAAAGTGTCACTTCCAGTTAATAGTATCGTAAATCTGGTCACATTAGCCTCAACTTAGGTACACTATTTGGATCCAGGAGATACAAAAGGCTTTTAGGGTGATAGCGATGCACAGGTAACATTCCGAATGAGTGTTTTATTTCTGCGGCTGTGGTTTGCATCTGTGATTAACTGCACCACATCAGATCATTCTCATAGGTTGCAGTCTTTATTTATTTTTGCTGTTTAAAAGCAGAGTCTGATTTTGTCCCTCTTTTTTGTTTTTTTTGTTTTTGTGGTTATTTTTTTCTTTTTGAGACGTGTATTTATCGGAAATGCAGTTGGACAGAATGAGGTTTGAGAAGTGACTGACAAAGAGAAAACAGAATGGAGCAAAAGCAACAGAGGGCAAGAACAGTATAACAGCAGCAAATGAAAACAATGTTACCGAGGAGTTCTTATCTATATGTGAACTGCATGGGAAGACAGTGTGACACTCTGTGAGGATATGACACAACAAGCAGCAAATAGGACATGACAGCATCGGACAGGTCGAATGAGTTGGTGTATGTTGATAGCTCCCCCATGTCATGCCATGAGCCTCTTGAATACTCAGCTTCCACCCCATTACTATGACCACCGATCATGGCAATCATTGTCTGAATATTTTGCAGTTCAACGCCATTGCAAATGACTGGAGATTTAAGCTCATCCTTTCACATTCATCCTGTGTTTGCCTGAGATAAAAAAATCCGGGTGAGACATACATTGGCGTTAGTGTTGGTGTCAGTCCTCAGAACAGACAAATCAGAAGGTAGCGTCTCGTGTTGAATAGGCGATATTTTTCCCGGGTGGAGGATGCAAGTGAGCCTGGGCTCCGCTGGTGATTTATGAGAAGAGCTGCCCATGTTAATGATTCTGTGTGGGTGACTCACAGCTCGCTGCTCCTGTCTTCGTCTCCCCAGTATCAGTCGGAGCTGGTATGAGTGTTTACACAGTGTAAATGCAAGGCTATCTTGTCATTTACTGATGTGTGTTCTTCACTGCCTCACCGAAGGTGTGCGTGCGCTACCACCAGCGCGTGTTGTGTGATGAACCCCTTCTCTCTACAAGCGGCAACCGCTGTTTGATTCTGCTGTACCTAGTGGCACTGAAAGGCTGGGCCCTGATCATTTGGACACACGAAATAAATGCACACGCACACAGACACGCATACTTGTATGACAGGGGTGAATATGAATAATGAGTTCCAATCATCAGCGACAAACTCAAATGACCACATATGTAGTGTTTCTAATTAAAAGTGAAATACAGACGCAATAAGTGGTCTTAAATTGTATTTCTTTGTTAACATATGTGAAATGGCACAATAGGCTCACCAGCGATAATTAATTAAATCATTACAGATAATTTGATTATGTTGAACCATCACTGGGGTCTGAATGGGGGATGTAGCTTGACCTCCTACTGCTGATGTCATGTTGTTTTTCTTTGGGAGCAAAGTAATTGTGTCTGAATCAACAGCGCTTTTGCAGGAGTAGAGCAAGAATACAAACGATTACATCGGAGATAGGGGGTGAAATTAACCAAGAGAAGCTGGAAGGTAGAAATTAACATTTCTTGACCGCGACTAAAATCAGCTTGATTTGTGGTTGATTGTTGCACGGGTCACAAATGGAAAATATTTGTGTTAGCAAAGCTTTTGGAGTCAATCGTGCATCCTTCATAAACGCCCCTTGAGAATGGAGTGCCTTCCTAATATCCTTTCCTTTTATATTTTTAGCACTGTGAATACAGATTTGGTTCAATTTTGTTATTTTTTTTTCGAGGAAATGTTTGCATTGATATTCCAGTCACCATTTTTCCACCTCGACTGAGTGCCTTTCTAGTTTAACGTTTTGACTGAAGTTAAACACGTCTATGATTTTATGGAAGGAGACCAAACCGAATTAGCCGTGTTCACACACCGCTAATAGATGAAGTCTAAAGAGAGGGACATAGTCTGGGGGAGGGGGAGAGGAGAGGGGGAAGGGACAATGTACAGCGAGTGCTTTAAATGAAGCCATAAGTAATGGAAAGCAATCCCTCACTGATAAAAAGCCAAGTTTGCAAACCTACCCTGCCGAGACAAGATAACATCAATTAATTTGGCCCCAAAGCCAGAGGAGAGCAGCGGGGGAGAGGTGTGAATGGAGACATTTAAAATGAGAAGGGAGATGACTGGGAGCAGGAGGGAAGCATGGGAGGCGCACAGAGGGAATTGTATCTGTCTGTAATCGGACATTAGGGAGAAAACTCAATATTAATGGATGAGAAGGGAGAAATGCTGAGGACATCATCATCATTATCAACATCAAAGCTAATAGTAAGAGCAATGTTGTATCTTGATGAAATGATGTAGAGATCCAGTGGGATTTGTGTCACATGCAAACTTCCCATCTCCCTCAGCTCATCTTGTTCTTTAAAAATAAAACACTTTGAAAATTAAGCAAAAAGAAAATGGTCACATGATGTATTTGTCATGTTCGTGTGTGTTGCGTCATGTGTCTCTCAACTGTTTCCCAAGTTCAAGCTGGAAACTTAAATGCTTGTTTTTGCCCTCATGGTGCCAAACGCTAAAAGGTATAAATATTTATTCCTTGAGTAAAAGATTGCCTCTCCTGAAATGAGTTTCAAATTGTCGCTTAGCAACAAGGACCAGTGCCAGAACTTCCCCTGAGCATTTGTTAAGTGCTGCGATGTAAAAGTGCAAAGGCAGCGCCAGGACTGTCCCACACAGAGGAAATATTGTGGAACTTGCAACATTATTTGTGCTGCTACTAATTTAAAAGCGGTTTCCAAACAGGACAGATTTCTGCAGATTCCCAAATGGACCAAAATGGGTCACAGCTTATCAACCCCCACCCTCCCTCCATTTTCTACAATGCTTGTCCTCTTTGAGCCCATGGAGCCCATCCCAGGCAAGGTACTTCCTGGACAGGTCGCCAGTCAATCTTAAGGCTCATATGTAGACAAACAACCATTCGGTCTCTCTAGACAATTTAGGGGCCTTTTGAAATATGGAGGCGAAGCCAAACTAACAGGAGGATTCCCACGCAGCTGTAGTGAGAACATACGAACGCCACACAGAAGCACCAGAGCTAATATTCAAATCCCGAATCTCACAAATGTGCAAACCTCGAGCCGAGTATGCCAAGTCACAACTGAATATTGGATCATTTTGCCTCTCATGAAGAGAGATAATGATCACATTCTTTTTGTTCAACTACATAAGGATAATAGTAGACAATTTCAAAATAATGACGTTTAAGGGATGTAATTATCCTACATAAATGGAGAACTATTTGAATGGGTAGATGTGATTTAATTTGGCATCTCCACGAAGGACATTTTTTAAATTCTCAATTTTACATCTCGAAAAAAGCTGCCTGAATTAGTCGAGCTTATGAAGTAGAAATTTTATCGAGTGTTTGTGGGGGTTTTCCTCGTGGGACGGCATCTCTGTGGTAAAGAAAAAAAAATACTCCTATCTTTCTTTTATCTGTTTTATTTTATATTTGATATTTTTTTAACCTGTCTTTAAGCCTCATGTATGTCCCCGTTTGTTCACTTGCCTCAATTTGCTGCTGGTTACTTTATTTATTTATTTTCCTGTTGAGGGACTTGAATGCAAGATGACTTGGAAGCCCATTAAAGAGGCTTTGACCATGAAAATCATGCACACACAGACAGGCTCCAACCTATTTCATAAACATGCATGCAGTACATGCAAACATGTATGACTGATGGAGATTACTTTGAATTCTCTTTGGGAAATTCCACAGAGGGAAAACGAATCAAGGTGACAAGGAAAAACAAAAGTCAGACACTTCTACGTGTCCACTATGTCGGTTGTTGTCTGATGTGTCCAGTTATCCTGCACATCGGTCTTAAAACCCTCCCTAGCTACAAAACGTAGAGGATGTTAAAAATACAATAAACTGGTTCCAGTCCATGCAGCTGCTTTTAAAACAGCTTCTACTTTTTTAGAAAGACTTTTTTTTTTTTTACAAGATTTTGGAGTGAGTCCGTGGACCTGCAGACTCCCAATCTGTTGTAGTTGATCCCAATTTTTTGGGGTTCATCTGTGTCAAGTTCTTTCACATCAACCTTATACAAATCATGGGCAAAGCTTTGTACAGAGGAAACAAAAAGGGGCCTTCCCTGTGGTAGTCATGACTTCACCTGTATGACTTGTGCAGTGGTATTATTCTACTCGTGGCAGATGAGGACGGGGCCGGCCCACCGATCGCAAAAATCTGTGTAGAGCTGAATCTCATTGAAATGCATTTGGGGCGAGGTGGTTTGGGATTGTTTTTTGTCACCCTATAAATTCGTCAATAAACGCTGTTGAACATTCAAAATGCATTTTCTACGAAAAGCATTGGGAAAATGGGGTGGAGGGGGATAAGAAACAAAACAAAACAAAAAAACAAGAAAAGATAATTACAAAAGATTTAAAAAATAATCCAGGAGTATGCAAATGCATGGGTGCTGAACCACAAGTATGCGGTGGTGGTGGTGGTGGTGGGGGGGACTCTATTGATAAATCTTTTTGAAGTGGTTTGTTTTGCTTCTTTTGTGTTCAAAATGTGAGCTACTGGCATATACATTTTTAAACTTACATAAAGTAAGATGCATAGGTTGTTGGGTGTGTTTCATTTTGATTTAAGATCCATTTGAAATAGTGTGACAGGTGGATATTGAGTGTGCTGTAATTCTTTATCCATTGTGCATTTGGGCAGAAGCATGGTGACATTATTAAGATACATGAGAAATATTTTGAGAACCAAAAAAGTGGAGAACCAAGTTCTTTAGTCGATGGTGTAATTTTATTTCTCCCTCATTACTCGTTAAATTACTATTTGTTTTCTTTCATGAGTCTGGACTCATAAACACCCACTCGGAACAACTTCCAA